CTTGAATAGCAGGTTTCTGAGCCACTGACATAGTCGCGGCATGTGGCAGACATTTCGGACATTGAAGGTTCCATGTTCCTGATATAGCTGGTGCCGCGTCGCTACCATAATATAACGTAATATAGCAGTATATGTTGAATCTCCCATGGGCTAGATGGTGGATCGTTTCCACGTTGCTGGGTAAAGGTGAAGGCCCTCGCTTCAGCAGTTTCTCCTGCGAGCCTGAGCGATGTTCGTTGCAAGGCTTTCCCGACCCTCCGCCCCACCAAAATTGACACTCAGGATCCCCCAGGCATCATTTGAGAGGCGCACACGGCGCTGTCTCGCGAGGACAAAGCGAGTTCGGCTTGCAGCCTTTCGCATCTGAAGTTTGCAGTTTCAATCTGCCGGAATCGGATTCCTCACGTCCTCCGGGTGTCTTTGAAACCGACAGTTGGGAGTTGACAAGGCCTCCGCTTGTAGAACAACCTGGTACGCCGTTCTTTCTGGGAGATGAGCCTATAGACCTCTTCCTGATACCCCTAGCCCCATTGAGCAAGCTGCCACAACTGTGACGGAGGATCGGCATGAACGGTTTGTCCTGTGCGTCTTGCTGCTCAGTACTGGTTGGTGCATGAGCGCGCGTCGGAGTTCGGGGGCCCCTGGGCTTGGTTTTGCCTGGGCCCGGCTGCCGGGCTCAGAAACCAAAAGTCACCCCAAAAGACAAAGTCACAACATTACCCCACGAGCAGACATGGGGCGGGGCCGAAACAGTGCACCTCTACAGGAAGTCCCTGGAGCAGCCTCCACAATCCTTGGAAAAGGGAGCTGTCCTCATGATTCCGGGGTTCAAGGGCAGTACTCCGTACTGTCCATGCGGGAATGGGCGTCGACCTCTACTTAGTACAGCCCCTCAGGGCAGGAAACCGCCCTTTGCCCCTGAGGGGCAACGAGGGCCTTCCCAGTATGACGGACACAGACGAAACAGCCAGCAAGCTGCCTCGCAGCCCACGGAAGCACTCAGAAGAAGTCCGATCTCTGCAATTTTGAGCAGACCCTCCTTCGATCCGAGCGGGCCGAGCCTGGGCCCCGGAGTCCCCGATGGCGTTGTTGCCCAGCCTCAGGTCCTCTCGCCGAGGGAGGGGGGGAGAAATCGTACACTCTAGTGTTGAATGGCACACTCAAGCCCACACGCAAGAGCGTTGTGGCCAAGATCGCACTCACAGCTACGCGTTTCGTACAGGGCCGAGCTGCCTCGAAATGTTGATGATTATTGTCTTTTGCAGGGCTCAAGTCGGCACATCTCGGCTCATGTTAAGTTTGTAAAACCGTACCCTTTCGCAATAAAAAAGAAAACAACCAGCTACAAGAGGCCTCTGCAACTCGGAATCTACAGAATCAGCTCCAGACCTTCTTGCTACGCTTCGCAGCCTTGTAGCGGCTTGAAGCTTCTTGGGCTAAAGCGCATCACATCTTCGGCTGCCCTCCCTCATTTTATCAGCACTCCCACTTGAAACCCTTGTAAACATAGTGACGTCCTCGATGTGTGGCAGGGCCTTCAGCGCGGCTCCCAGGGCCTCTGCTCGAGAGAAGTTAGGGAGAGTGAGGCCCAAGCTGCCCAGAAAACTTGCGGCAAATGCCGAACGCCGCTTGGAAGACTTTGACTCGTCACAGTCCGAGTCTCTCAGCAGGACCCCCGCATAAAAATGACAAACACTTAAGACGGAAGTATATCTGCTGAAGTTCAGAGGGCAAACCAACAAATCCCAACCTGCACCAAAAAAAACACAAAAACAAAACCTACCTCGATCACTCCCAGGCCTGCGCCCCCGCATCGCCGAAGCCGTTGTTGCCCAGGCTTAGTTCTCGTAGGTCCTTGTGGCTTGCGAGGCCCTCGGCGATGGCCTGCATGGGGACAGGCCACCTTGCAGAAGCGCACCTTCCACCCTCATCACGTCGCCGGATGTCTGAACATCTTTCCCCCTCCCGAGCCTGGAGGCCGCTGTCGCCGATGCGATTGCCGAAGAGCCACAGCACCCGCAGCGAGGAGTGGCCGCCCAGACCAGCTCCAAGGGCCTCCCGCAGGCGACCGAATGTACAGGACTCTTTGCTTTTGGAAACGGTGTAGGCATCATGGCCTGGCCGGGCAAGTACCCTTATCCGGAGATTCTATAGGATAGCCAAGTTCTGTTTCCTAGGCTTGGCGGCACGTAGTTGTAGAACCCTCCCACAAAGCGGGAAAGTCCTTGCTGAAACCCAAGGCATATCCTCTTCGCAGGGTCTCCCGCGCCCGACCCCCCCTCCGCCGCGGTCGCGCATGCAGGCCAACAAAGGGGCGTAGAGTACCGACATCTTTCTATTCGCAGAATATACATACAGAGGAAAGGAGGTTGAAAGTTCATGGCGGTAAGAAACTATATGTTTGGCGCAGGATGAGTATTGGAATTGCGAAAGACTTCAGTGGACGAAATCTTATATCTTCGATCCTTAAGGGGGGCCAACCCCTCACTTGTGACCATAAAATCTTCTCACTTGTGACTGTTTTTTCTCATTTGTGACTATAAAATCTTCTCACTTCTGACTTTTTTAAGCCTACTTACGACTATAAATTCCAAAAACGCAGCTCCCGCTCGAGAGGGGTCAACAACTCACTTGCGTCTTTTTTCTTTTTTTTTTTTTGGGGGGGGGGGGGGGGGGGCGGGCGGGGGGGGGGTGGCTCACTTGTGACTATTTGTAGTCACAAGTGGAGTGTGATTTGGGGAAATAGTTACAAGTGAGCGGGGGGTGCTGCTCAGCAACAGGAGTGGAAAGGACCTGCTCCCCGACATCACCGGAGTGTGCTGGGGTGGGGGGGGTTGATAATCGCCCAACAGGGGGGGGGGGGGGTGCGACAACATTCCAGAACAACTGACCAACGTACTTTGGATGCAGCATGCATCCTTGGCACGAAGTGATCGGCCTGAATAGTTCGTGCTGAGGTTTTTGGCACTTCCGGTTTGCTGACTCCATCTGCCAGGGAAAAATTTCTCACATGCGGGTGAACTTTATAGGGCAACCTTTACTAGATTAAGGTTTTGCTTTGGCATTTCTAGCAGATGGACGGAGGCTCATCTCTGGGGAGCTTGGTCCGGGCTTCTCCCCGTGGCCCCTCCCAAGGTCCTGATGCCTTCCTGCACGGCTCGAGCCTTTCAAGGGGGTTATGGCCTGATTGGCTAGATTTGCAGGTCCACGTGTTGGCTCGTGAGACGACTTGGGCTGCTGGCTTTTCATTTTCTCCAGTGACATGTCGCGCCTCCTTGCTGGAAATCCATGCCGATACCCTACTGCAACCTCGCCGCAGACCATGGATACCCACATGTATGGTGCAGCGTCGCTGCACCCCCCACCCCCCCCCCCCATCCATGGTCGCCCCCCCCCATGGCCCTCTTGTGGGGTGGTGTGTTTTTGGGGTTTGGGTTTTGAGGGTTTAGGGTTTAGGGTTTCGGGGTTTAGGGTTTAGGGTTGGGTTTAGGTTAGGGTTTAGGGTTTAGGGTTTAGGTTTAGGGTTTAGGGGCCCCGCCCCCCTGTGGTTTGGGCCCCCCTGTGGGGTGGTGTGGTTGGGGTTTGGGTTGAGGGTTTAGGGTTTAGGGGTTTAGGGTTAGGGCTTAGGTTTAGGGTTTAGGGTGTTAGGGGTGTGGGGCGGGGGGGGGAGGGGATACCATGGGGGGGGGGGGGGGGTACCGACACGGGACACGGAACACCGCAACAAAAACAACTTTTCAAAATGCTTCAAGGTGTGCGCAGCTTTTGCCAGCGGTCCCTAAAAGCTGCCATCGTTTGAAGTCTATAGACCTCTTCCTCAGCCACTAGCTCCATTGAGAAGCCGCCACAACTGAGATGGAGGACCAGCATGAAAGTTTCCTCCGGTGCGTTTTGCTTTTTAGTACCGGCTGGTGCTTGAGTGCGTCGTAGTCTGGGTCCAGGGTTTGGCCAACTGCCGGGCTCAGAAGGCAAAATCACCGAAAGACAGAAACACAATAACAATGCACCGCTACAGGAAGTGCACGGACCACGGAGCAACCTGCCTCATCCCTGAGAGTCTAGATGCAACTTGTCGAGTTTTCGGCATGACGCGGTGTCTTGTCTCAGTCGTTTACATTGATTCCGAGTTTTTGCAAGACTCTGCAATTACTTAATTGTGCGGGAGATTGGCTCCTGCCACTGGAAAGCCCCCTCCCAAACGTTTCGAGGGCTTCCACACGACGTCAGATCTCGAAAGGACACGCAAGCCCAAAGCGGCACCCTGCATCCCGTAGAATGTGTAAATGCAGTCTCTTAAGAAGTCAGATCTCTTTTTCTTCCAGCCCTCCCGCGCGATCACAGCAAAACGCTTTGGATGAGTATTTGCAAGCTCCATGCAGCAAATCGATAGAAATTGTCTCTGACCACATGCATCCACATGCCGCGTACAAGAGCCTCCTGAACACGTTCTGTGCACTTTCTCCTTTGCCCAGCACCCACTCCTCTCACCCCCCGGGCCCGTTTTAAAAAAGAGGTGGGGACTGGGCGCCGAACCTATTTGGGCTCCAAGAAGTTTGTCCAGTCTAGCCGCCACTTTTAAAACCCAACGCTTCAGCAAATCTTCAGATTAAGATTTAAAACACGATCTTCGTTTCAAGGCTCAGCCGCCGAAATTTGGCAATGAGTCGTGCAGTCTACAAAAGGCCCTATGCCCCACTTTCCCCTGCTTTAAGGCACGCCCTCCCGAATGGCAGAAAGACCCGTGCCAGCCGTCTGAAATGTTGGACTTCAAGGCTTCCGGAGTCGGTGTGACAGGGCTTGGGCTTCCTGCTTTCTTGGATCTTTCATACCCCGCCAGCGGTGGGTCTGAAACCGCACCACCCTCACTTGGGACCCCGCTCCCCTCAAGAAGAAGTGCCACGAAAATCGGGGAGGACACCGCAGAGAACCCGACCCCGCCACTTTCGAGAGGCGGCCACACTTCGGGAGAGGCAGAGCAGGCAAAGCGGGTGCACCCCCACCTCGGCCTCTGCATCTCCGAAGCCGGAGTCCGTCAGCTCCAGATCTCGCAGGCGGCTCCACGGCAGCGCCCGCACCAGGGCCTGGCGCGAACAGATCAACAAAAATAACAAAAAGAAGGGGCCTGCAAAGGGCTTCTTCGTGCTTTACAGAAAATGAGGGAGGCTCGGGGCATGCTCTGCAGGGGCGCGCGCTCTCCTGCCTGGAAGCCCTCGCCGGCCAGCTCGCTGTTGTCCACTTCCACCACCTCCAGCCGCTCGTAGTGCGGCAGCGCCCGGGCCAGCACCTGCACCTGGGCTTCGGGCAGCTGCACCAGAACCAGCTCCGTGGCCTCGGCCGCCTTCTCCCGAAAGACCTTGGCCTGGAGTTGCAGCACCGGCTCCAGGTCCGACCTGTGAGTGAACTTCAGGGTCCCCTTCTCCGCTTGGGCGCGGAACTCCGCGGGCGCCATGGGCGCCTCTGAGTTCCGGCCTTCGCGGAAGGGAATCCTGATGCTCCTCCAGGGGGCAGTCCGGGCCAGCGACCACTGCACCTCCGCCCTGCACCAGCCGCGCTGCAGGTACGGCGTGCTGTTCCGGTGCAGCTGCGGGCAGGGCGGGCTGCAGCCGAAGTGGCATCCCGCACCGCAGCTACCTGTCTCGTCGGTGTCCCGCAGCTCGGCCAGCGCCACATCCGTCACGGCGTTGTCGGGGAGGTAGAAGACCTTAGCGGTCCCAGGCAGCTCGGGCCGGGGCCGGTCGTGGAGGCCGGGCGTCAGGTCCTCGATCCTTAGTGACCAGGTATCATCATGCGCGTAGAGGAGGTGCATGTGGGCCATGCCCTTCGCGAAGTAGACGTCCTGACGGAAGCGCATCTATAGGCATCACAGGCCCTCCTCATGTCTCCCCGATCCCCAGAAGGATGCCACACAGAAAAGAGCTCAGCCAGTTTCAGTCCATCCTGCTCTTCAGTTCTTGGGAACTGATATAAGCAGATGTAATCGACGAAGATCGCCGCCTCATTGACACGTGCCCCCATACCACGCTCTGCACTTTATACTCACATGCATTTTGTTGATCTTACACGATCTTATAGGCTTCTAGGGCGTGCAGGCAGCAAGCTGCTCTCAGCTGGCCGTTTCAAGAGAAGCTTGAGAAGCTTCAGGGCTGCACATGCGAGAAAAAAAAGTACCTGGAACTTTCGCAAGGTCGACATGCAATGTGCCCTAATTATACCTTGAAAACAAAATCAGTGTTTGCGAGGCAGTGCCCTATGGCGCCTCCCAGTCCTCTGCGAGTTTCTGGGCCGGGGCGATCTTCTCCAGGATCTCCGCGAAGGTGTCCAATGCTTCTACCAGCACTCCCAGCCTCAGGAACTGCGGCGGAAGTGGCAAAAGAGGAGCACGTCTCTATACAGGACTTACTGTAATGTAATCCCAAAAGGAGGCATACGGCACACGGTCAACAGATTGCGAGGGAGACCCTGCGCTGCTGAGCTGGGGCTCCCTGCTGGAACCTGGCCACGTCCGGGATCTCGCGGCTCTCCCACGAGTGCGACAGAGCCATGACCGAGAAGCGGTGGGTGAAGCCCACCTGGCCGCCTGGCAGCTTCGCCTCCAGCTCCTCCTGGGCCAGCAGGGCCGGGCGGCCGTCCTTGGTCCGCATCCCCTCGGCTTCCTGGCGCCGGGGCATGGTGCGGCCCTCTGCCAGGAGCTCCCGGAGGAAATCGGCGCGGACGAGCCGCACCTTGGCATCCCTGCAGTACGCCAGCAGGCCGTCCTCGTCCCGCAGGCTGTAGATGGCTACCTGCGCAGGCACGGCGAGCGTGCCAAGCTAGAGACACTCGACGTAGCGAGCTCGCCTTTTTCCGTTTAAAGTAGGAGGGAGCGAACACAGAAGCACCAACAAGTGCCCGGGTGTGCCAGAACCTTTCGAACTTTAAGGGTGCGCGAAAGCAGCTTGATAACTGGGAGGGGTTTTGCGGTGCCGTCAGCGTAACATGACAATACCTCGTGATGATCTCTGGAGGGCATGCAGTTGAACTGAGTTTCGGCACCCATTCTCGACGGCTTCATAAGGTTTTAATGCTTGGCTTCAGCAATGAAGTCTGGAATCAATCTGGAGGTGTTCTGGAGTCTTCCTGCAGCCAAGTCTCTGAGCCCGGCATGACCACAAACACTTGCAAGGGGCTACTGGAAGCAACACATTTCCGGCAGGGCTCAGCATCCGAATGAACCAGGTAGACTTTGACAAACAACTAGAGGCCGTGCAGATCTATGTGTCAGCAAACTCGCACAGTGCAGCACTCGAGCCCATCCAGGGGATCAGGGAAACCGAGCGGAAGAACCCTCAAGCGCAGCCGCGCAGCCTCGGCTTTGGACTCCGGCTCCTACGAGGCTCCAACTACGGGCTCTCCGCAACCCACTTGCTGCGCACACATCCCCGATACTGCACCCGCAGCCACTACAAAGCCGTGAAGTGCCCTTCGTCCTCCGTGGCGGGCTCGGAGGGCTCGGCGGCTTCCTCGGCTCGGCTTGTCTAGCACATGCTGAGAAAACGGCCGAGTCGCCTCCCTCTTCGATCTCATTCTAAGGCACAGCTTCGTTCCCCCCAACTTACCATCAAGCCCAGGTGCTGCCTCTGCAGGGGGTTCCTCCCTCGCACCAGCGTCTCCAGATCCTTCCCGGGGTCCGTGATGCCACAAAACACACCCACAAGCTCTATCTATGCAGCTGCTTTTTGCAGAGTATATAGTGCGACACGACGCAGCTCTGCGGCTCTGCAGCCCTCATGCCCCGGCCTGCAGCCCGGCTCGGGGCCTCTGCAGGCAAGAAAAGAAGGACGAACGCTTGCAACGTCTTCAGTTGCAAGGGCATAGAGTTCAAGGTACACAGCCTTTACATGACTTTCTTCGGATCCGGCTTCGAGTGACGCACAGGAACACCAGAAGCATTCGACTTTCCTACACCGATCACGCACCCAAACCCTTCAGGCATCAGGATCAGGAGCCAGTGGACATTTTAACTGCAGTTGCAATGCTGATCCCCGCGGTACCCAGCCTTTTGCTCCGGGGCAGCATCCGCAGGATGCAATGGCACTTCCTTCGCACCTCCAGGGTCAATGCAGGCATGTGGGACCGCAACAGCCACAACAACTGATGGCTCAGCACTCATTGCGACTTCTTGTATCGGTCCATGCCTACAGCTCTTAAGGCTGCAGAGACTTGGTGGCCTGCTGCGGCTCCTCCTGAAACCTGCAAGACTTCCACATGGACAGTGCCTTCTGCCGTTGAAAGTAGATCAAGCATGATTTTGTCACGGCCCTTTGTGAACACAGATTGAAGTTTCCGAAGCCCCGTGATCTTTGACATTGTAAACTTGTCCCAAAGTTTTATATCCCAAGCCTAGATAACTTAAATAGCACTGGACACACAGGACGCCCTGACTACGAACTGCAAACCCTGGCGCGCATCACGTGAGCCTGCGTGGGCATTGCATCCGAGGGCAGAGCCAAACGCGAGGCCTGGCGCCAGCCCGAGGGCAATTCAGCTAATGCTGTGTGCTGCCATTCTTGAGTTGAAGACGACGGTAGCCGTCAAAAGATCCTCAAAACTCTCCAGGGGAATTCATGAGCCGAGCGATGACAGAAGCACAGATTGGCGCGCTAGAACCTCTTCTTGTGGCCTAGCGGACGACACCACGAGGTCACCATGAACAAGAACACTTGCTACTGGAAGCAGTATCACATGGTCGTAATGTGGGCCTAACCTCGGAATGTGTTCGGCTCTCACTCAGTGGCAGATACTACAAACCCTGGGCATGAACACTCGTTGCAGCACCCGAGCGCATCTGGCCTCGGTTGTGGATTCCGGCTCCTATGAGGCTCAAGCTACTCTGCAACCCACCTGCTACTAGTACACATCCGCCATGCATCGCCGCAAGCCAAGAACCGTCACAAATCGCAACCGCCCTTCGTCCTTGGCAGGCTCGGCGGGCTTGGCCTTTTCCTCGGACATGCCAGAATCTGCTCTCCAAGTGCTCCCTCGCTTGGAAACCCGATGCCACATTGCGAGTCATGGTGGATACCTCTGAGATTGAATAGATGTCATATCAAGCCGAGAACGCTGAAGCCTCAGCCTTTGCATCCCCTGAACTCTGCTGAACTGTGCTGAGCAAGAGAACCGAACGTTCTCTCGGCATAGAGCCCTCACGCGCCCCCTCCAAACTGATGCCCCGAAACCCAAAAATGCAAAATTCTGCAAACAGCCCGTCCAAGCATATCCCCCTCAAAGGACTCCACGCCCCCCCCCCCCTCCTTCCTCGCTTCCCCAAACAAAGCCTTTAAGCCCCAAAGAGCCACAAAGTCTCAACCTCCGATGCCAAAGGCTCCAAAGGTGCAGTAGCTGCGGATGCCAGCCTTGCCAAGGGTTTTTTGGGTTTACGCGTTTACAGGCTTAAGAGCCACACCCAGTGTTAATACACCTTGCAAACGATGAAGGGTTTTCGCGCACAATCCTAAGCCCTAAGCCCTAAACCCACCGCGGCTCCAGGCTTTCAGCCTTGGGTGCGGCTCTTTTTTTCCTATGCGATTACACCGCTCTAGCGAAAGGGAATGGGGAACTATCTGCACCCTAGCTGCCAACGGTGTGGACCAGGTCAAAGATCTCTTTCTCGCTCTGTTCCCCCCCCCCCCTCCCCCCGCCCCCGCCCCCCCCCACCGCCATGGCAACAAGGTACATGTCCCTGTTATGAAGGTACATAGGTTATTCTAGGTGGGACATCAGGTTCAGACATACCCAGTCTCTGGAAAGCAGATTGATGGTATCGCTCCCACTTCAGCCACTTCAGCCACTTAGAAGGACGGTGATCTGTCCAGACCCTGCCCTGAAACCATCAAGCAAGTTCCCTCTTCATGTCCCGCCGTCAAGCACCAACAGAACTCAAAAGGCTCTGAACCTGACCCGGACCTCAATCTCCGGCCTCCAAAGCCCATACCTTGAGAGCCTGAGACCTCTTTAGTCGCAACTCCCCTTCGTACCTTGCTGCAGGCCCATCAGCCTGCAGGGCTGAAATCGCAAGCTGGCAGTCATCATGTGCAGTATAAAGAGCGTAGTATGTCGACCATACAAATCACCCCTTTACCATATGATAAGAATCCAAAACGGCTGGTCATGCATGGTCGAAGGTTTACGGAGATCTTTCTTCTACAACAGATCGAGCTGCCAGCTGGAGTTCCCACCCTTGTCCTGGCACTCCAAATTCCCGCAGAGCCATCTCCAAAAACAAAACAAGCCTTGGTGTCTCTCAAAGTTTGCAGGGGTCTCCAGTGAGCCTGCGGGATTGCCCCCCGGGTTATTTAGCCAAGATTCATGAGGGGCTCTGACAGTGCAGCATGCTGAGAGTGGAAAACATGCCAACTTGCATGTCGTCGCTTTCGTCGCTTTGGAGCGTGGGGTGTGGGATTACAAATCTATCCAGGCTTGCCCGGAAGGAGGAACCAAGAATGCATCACGCGCGTCTTGACCTTTGGAAGATTTCTCCACAACAAGCAGAAGCCCTGAAATCAACTAAGCGTCTACTGCCTCACCTCGCCTCGTCGAGCTCTGAAGGCATACGGGGTGGCTCTTCTGGCCTGCCGTTTTTGGTAACTTGTCGAGGCAGCTGTTCCAGATCGGAGCAGGGTTTATAGGGTCCAGGGATGGTTCAACTCGGTTCGAGGTCGGTTCGAGTTGGTCAAGACCTGCAGACACAGGCCGGTCTGCCGGAACCCAGCCAGTTGTTGCGGCTGTTACTGCACCTATACCATGCACATCTCGAAGCTGCACACGCAAGCGCGCACACACACACACAGACAGAAAGAGACAAACACACACACACACACAACACAAACAAAAAGTAGGTAAAACAACAACTTCCCCCAAGTCCACCCTGGAGAGCCTTCGGGCCGCTTCGAGAGCTTCGACCGGATCCGGGGCCTTCCGTGCTCGGAGCGGAGAAAGGCTCAGAAGCACCGCTAACGCGGGGTCTCTCAACGTCTCTTCTGACACGTTGGAAGTCGAAGCAGCGGGCGAATTCGCCTCGGCTTCCTGCCGAGAAGCGTCTGGAACAAGCAGACCCGGATCGGGCCTCCTTCCCCCTAACCCAACCCTTCCCCCCGTGCCAAATTTTCTGACGCAACCCCCCCCCCCGCCCTGTGGGACCCCCCCCAATCCCTTGGAGGAGCTGCAAACCGATGCCGTGGAGGGTCCCCCCCCCCTTTGACCCCCTTTTTTGCGAAACCCTCTTTCCTCCTTTCCTGTCCTGGGGCCGGCCCGGCTGCCGAGGCGGCGCGCGCAAGCGTTTACAATTAATATGTAGAAAGCACTGAGAGATGAACAAGAAGAAGAAGAAGAAGAAGCTGATGATGATGATGATGATGATGATGATGGTGGTGGATTCCCAAAGCTTACGGCCCTCGAGTTCTCTGCATGTCGTTGGTGTCAAGCAGACCAGGTTTCAAAGCTCCCAGGTGGATTTTCTTCATATCTGAGAGCTGGGCTGAGGACTCTACAGGGCGCGCTTTTCTACATGACTTTAAGCTACTTACATATATATATATACACATAGCTATTTGTTTAGTTGCTTTATAATGTTTATATGTATATTGACATATGTACATCTGTATCTAAACTTGTTTACTTATATATGTACATGTGTATCTATTTGTACTTGTTTGTATTTACTTTTTATTGATGTATATTTGTTTCCATTTGCTTGCATTATTTAGTTTCTTTTACTTTTAGTTAGTTCTTTGAACATGAATAAATATTTTGTAAATTTATGTACAGTTAGGGATATTTACTGTGTTTCTATATATATATGTATATCTGTATTTGTTTATGTATTTATTTATAGTCATCTAGATTTGCATTTATTAAGATTTACCCAATTTGTTTTATCTTTATCTTTGTGCTTATATATATATATACCCATTTGCATCTTTCATTGTATGTATGTTTATTTTTTCAATTCCTTTATACTTATATATATATACATACATACATATGTACATATTCGTAGGAGCTTAGGATCCAGGGTTGGAGCCCATAATGAGGTTCAGGGCCTTTTGCATGGTCCGTTTTTGTATAAAGCACATTGTAAGCAAGTCTGTTGCATGTGAATTCGGGTGTGGTAATATCTACCGAAGGCATTTTGAGGGCGCCCTTGAACTTTCGGCAGGCCGTGTGGCACCTCGAGGTTGATGTGCTGCCCCGCCTCCTCCCTCGTGCTCTGCAAATGCTCCTCCTGGACTGTTCAGGGAAGGAGAGAATGAGGGTTTTACAATCCAGTACATGCTGTACTGCTGTATGCTCTATACAAGACTACTCTATGCTATTTCTGCAAAGATGCTGTACAGACACAATAACACGAGAAAGGCATTTGCACCTTTCCCCATGCTGCGGCTTTCCTTCTTATTGAACTTGTGGTTCTTCTTGCCCGATTGGCGAAGTTGGGTTGGCCAGTTCACGTTCTCAGCTTGGTCTTA